TCTTTGGTTCTTCTTCTTTATCAGTTGTTTCCTTTTCTTGCGCTTCTTTAGTAGATGTTTCATGCCTCTCCTCTTCTTCTGTTTCAGTAGCACTCTCTTGCTCCTGCTTCTTGGTTTCTTCCTTCACTTCTTTTGCTTTCTTTGGTATGATCACAAAGAGAAGGCCACAGTCAAATTTGCCCTTGATCTTGTCAGCATCTGCATCCTCAGGCAAGCTGAAGACCTGCTTGAAACGGCTATATTTGCCTTCACCCAACCATCTCTCTCCGCCGACTGTTATTTTGCCCAAGTTGTCGACCTGTAGCTTCAATTCCTCCTTCTTGAAACCTTACAAAAACAAGTGCAGAGAAAAAGAAAGAAGTTTGTAAATATACAGGGAAGAAGTCAATTAATTAATTCAAGCTGTGGATCAACAACATAAACCCAAATTAATAATTATAAACTGTGAGCTAGAAATATATGTGAATTTAATACCAGGAAGATCGACGAGGAGGATGTGGCATTCCGAATCCTGGGTCCAGTCAGAAGAAGGCTGGAAGTCTTCATAGACAAACTGACGAGAATAGCTTCTTTGTTCTGTTCCTCTTCTTCCTGCGATGCTTTCCATGGTGCTATATATTGATGAACCAACAGAGGACAAATAACACAGAAACCTTTTGCTCAAGTTGATAATCTGGCTTTGGGTTTGCAATGGTAATGGTGAATGGAGTGGATGGTTCATATTGTTCATAATATATAGTTTAGAGAACAACGAAAAAGTAAGGATTTTGCATGCAAGATTTAGCTGATGGATAGCTTTCCTTGCAGAAATATGCGATTCTCATTCCAAGCTTTTCTGTCACGGGTCGTTGGTCGGGCGGAATTGGAGAGGTCGGCCTTCGTATAGTGTCTAATAGAAGGAAAGGTAGTATTCTTTTCTTCATTTATATGCTTCTTAAGGCCTCTTACGTGTCATGAGATACAAGCATTCCATATGTATACGTAGGCACGCACAAGTTGAAGAACTACATCAATGAGACTTGTGCTTATTGATACTGCATGCCAAAGGCCCAAAGCTTAGGTGATGGGCTAAGCATATTAAGAGGCCTTTATGTATGAAGTTACCGGCCCGGCCCGGCCCGTACACAGTTGGCCTGTGACTGTGTAGTAGAGCTGTCTCAGTGTCTTCCGGGCTTGTTTGGTTGCAAGAACCAAGAAATCCGAAACTCATCAAGCCTTGTTTGGTAAAAATCCATAAAGCTATGCATAAAAAGGATTTCGTGAGCCCAAAAAAAAACACCTCAATCTTAAACCAGGGCTTGAATTTATGTTGTATCTATCAGTAAAGTTGTCTTAATCTTAAACCAGCCCAAAAAAAGCACCTCAATCTTAAACGTTGTCTTAAACCAACATTTTAAAAAATGATTCGAAAATTGAATCATTCTAGTCATCGATTTTTGGGTCGATAGTTTGACTGTTCAGTTCGAATGGACAACTTATTCTGATAAAAAATTTTTAAAAAAATAAAAAAATTAAAATTAAAAAACAGCCAAAAGCTTGAACAGGTCAACGGTTCAACCACTCAAATCAATGAATTGTTGACTTTTTCAACAGTTTTTGGCCAAAGATTAGATTTGGACTAAAACAGAACCGGTTGCCTGAACATTTCCTGGGTCAAACGGTTCAACCGTCCAGATCAACGATGGTTCGAAAACCATGTGTCTAACAAAAAAATCGTAAGTTGAGGAAAGTTATGATTCTATATATATATATATATATATATATATATATATATATATATGGGAATCATTTTTGTTTCAATGTATCAATGCCCTTTTGTTCTCTAACAGTCATAAATTAATGTTCATCTGTTCTGATCATCCATCAATCACATATTTGGACTATAATATCCCAAATTAAGACAAGATATGGGAAAAACTTGTAACCAATCAAACCGGTTTGATAAAAGTGGTAACCAATTGTGGTTTTGATTGGTCAAAGCCCTTCCGGTATCAAGAAGATTTTTTTTGTTGTTGATGCCATTGACATGCATTATGCTAAATTTCGGATATGAAGGTATTTTACAATAATAAGAATTTGAACAACTAAAAATAAAAAGTAAAAAAAGAAGGGGCCCAAAATAAAAGCCCACAAATAGTATAAGATTTGAATAATTCCAAGTCCAACCCGTATCAGTGAAATTAAAGACATGGAAAGAGAGAGAAATTTAAGGGAAGGAATGGATGCCCTGGTTTCACGCCCTTTGGTGCGTAGTACGTACGTAGCTCTGGCTTTCCTTAATTTAGCCCGTTTTACCCACTATTAAAACACTCCCTATCCATACTTACAATGCCCTCCCTCATCCCGGGTGGACCATTCATTCTACAATAATAATTTGAGAGGCTCCTTAGGTTGGTTTTTAATTTTTATTTTTACTTGGTCGTCGCCTTGGCTTTACGTCTAGCCTTTACTACCTACGTACAACCCTACTAGCTAGAGTCGTAGACCTTGGCCACCACCATCCAAACGGCAAACGTAACGATTCAACCCAACAAAAAATAATCAAAAGGAAAAGAAAAGGCAACAACGGAGATAACAGAAGAAGAAGAATGGCTATGGCTTTGGCTACAATCAAGCCCAGTTTATTGCTGTGCTTCTTATTGTTTATCCTTGCCGCAATAATTCCCACGCTCCGGGCACATATCGGCGACTTTGATGAGGTGTGGCAAAAGCGAGCTGAGGAGGCCAAGAGTAATGCTCTCGAAGCTTATCACCCCGATCCCGACGAAGTTATCAATCATTTCAACCATCATGTCCACTTGTGGGTCCCGATCAACTGATCCCCATATCTTTATTATTTAATAATTATCAATTGTTAACTTCCTTCTAATTAATATGTTGATGAGTGTCGTCGACGTAATTAATTAGTCTGATGAATAGCTGCTGCGGTTGCGTTTCTGGGTGCAGGGCCACGGCGGAGGTGAGGAGCGGGAACAGCTCAACCAGGAGGAGCTTGAGGAACAAGGAATACAAAGGTCCATGCATGGCGACCAACCCCATCGATCGATGCTGGAGGTGCCGGTCGAAATGGGGCAAAAATCGCAAGAAGTTGGCGGATTGCGTACTGGGTTTTGGCCGGAAAACCGTCGGAGGCAAGTACGGGAAATTCTACGTTGTGACGGATGGGTCGGACGACGACATGGAGAACCCAAAGCCCGGCACATTGAGACACGCCGTGATCCAGACAGAGCCACTGTGGATCATATTCGAGCATGACATGATCATCCGGCTGAAACAAGAGCTGATTATGACCAGTGACAAGACCCTCGACGGTCGGGGTGCTAGGGTTCACATCGCCTACGGAGCTGGCATCACCATCCAATTCATCAAGAACGTTATCATTCATAACCTACACTTTCATGACATCGTTGCACGTGAAGGTGGAATGATCAGGGATTCTGTCAACCACCTCGGTTTCAGGACAGCCAGTGATGGCGATGCTATCTCCATCTTTGGGTCCACTAATGTCTGGATCGATCACAACTCCATGTCCAACTGCAAGGATGGACTCGTCGACGCCATCATGGGATCCACTGCCATCACCATCTCCAACAATCACCTCACCCACCACAATGAGGTATTACTGTACATGTTAGAATAGTTATAGGAATTGAATGAGGAATGAATGAATGATCGATATTTATGTATATGATCATCGATGATGGTGGTGGTGCAGGTGATGCTGTTCGGAGCAAGCGACAGCTACCCTGATGATTCAAAAATGCAAATAACAGTGGCGTTCAACCACTTCGGGAGAGGACTGGTGCAGAGGATGCCGAGATGCAGATGGGGATTCTTCCATGTAGTCAACAATGACTACACACACTGGCTCATGTATGCCATCGGTGGTAGCTCAAACCCCACCATCATTAGCCAGGGTAACCGCTTCATTGCTCCTCCCACCGAAGCTGCTAAGCAGGTATTACAACCTACCTATTATTAGCTTACAACGTATTTGATCCTAAAAGAATCAGTATTCTCAATTTCTCACTGTTTAGTTTGTTTAGATCTTCTTAATTTCTTTCTTCTTCTTTGGCCTGTGTCTGTGTGGTGGGATGGTGTAGGTGACCAATAGGAACTATGCACCGGAAAGTGTCTGGAAGCATTGGACATGGAGATCAGAGGGTGATCTGATGATGAATGGAGCCTACTTCATACAGTCAGGGAAACCCATCAAAAAGAAGCGAGATATGATTACTGCAAAGAAGGGCACTTTTGTGAAAAGGCTTGTACGCTTTTCGGGTGCTCTCAACTGCAAAGTGGGAAAACGTTGTTAAACTTTTTCTTTTTCTTGGGGTTGGGGGTACACTTTTTCATTTTCATTCATATACTATACCATTATACCAATATTACCGGTTATCAACATCAAATATGCAGGAAAGGGAGATATAAACAAGATTAATTGCGAGATTGCATTTTGTTGTTAAATCTGTCTATTAATTGCCTTTTCTTTCTTTCTTTTTTCGAGTAAAGAATTTTTCTTTTAAAATCTCGAGAAACAACGAATACAACAGACCAGACCAAACTAGAAATATTAACGAATCGGAACCAAAGCAGACCCAAGATTAATTGTGTGGAATCGATTCCAAACTGATAATAATTGCAACAATAGATAGATTAGAAACGGGAACCAACCCATCAGTACCAGATTCGGTTCAATCGGTTTGAGTCAGTGAGGTTGGACTCCACCCATTAACAGCCCTAGACCAGAGAGAGATGTTTTTATGTTGAGAGGGTTCTAGTAAAAAACAGGAAAAGAAAACGAGAAACAAACTTTGAAGAGTTTTCTTTTTCGGCTTCTAAAGGGGGAAACCGAAATTAAYGGATCCAATTAACATATTGAGCATTTGTTTCGTGGCACAAATCCTACCACTGCTAGGTTTAGCTAATAGCCCCTTTTAAACCCTCCAGGCTTTGGTAATGGATCCAAATCCAATTACTGTAACAAAAACTTGGTCTCAGTCCTTATTATCAAGTATCAACCAAACTTTCTCCTTGTTGAATCCATCAAAAACAAAATGGACTAGCCAATTTTCAGCCACTAAACTCCCTGACCCTGAGTGTCATCCTATTGTAACCCCCACCCTTTTTAGAAACTTCGAAATCCAACTAGTGACTCTTAATTGGGCTGAAACAAAAAGAAGTTCAGAAAAGATCAGTGATGGACTGAAGGTGTACCATATAAGAAAATTAAGTCTAAAGGAAACAAGAAAGCCTACTGAAAATTAAGAACTGGCGTTAGCATTTAAGTCATCGAGACCAGAGTGTCTAGGCTGAAAATGGTCACCATTAAGAAGAAAGCTCGCAATGCTAACCAATTTTTCTCTCTCGGGTTTTTGCAATTTCCATTGTTCGAATCCAACAAGGTTACAAAGCACTACACTAACTTGTTTCGGAGAAGTAACAACGAGGAAATGGCTGTTGGGATTTGGGAATAAAGCCAACTAATTGTCTCGATTTTTTGTTGTTGAATTGGCACTTTCAGGTCCAAGCATCGCAAATGAATAGTCTTGTGTCTTCCTCTAAATTATTAATTATGATTAGAGAGATACGATATGGAGATGAAAATGCTAATTCATAGACCTCGGTTTCTTTGCAATTGCTATGAACCATTCATAATCTATGCAACTTTTGCTATTGCTATTAACCATTCATAATCTATGCAACTCTTGTTTCGGAGAWAACACAAGAGCATAGATGCAACGGAAAATGCTTGGATTTATATGCATGAGGCATTGGGAGAAACTTCAAATTCTTGTTTCCCCTAACACCCCAACATTTGTTGAATTGAAATGCTTATATAGCACACTTTACGGGGTGTTAATCTAAAGTATAAAGTAACTTTATGGGATATTACCTGAAATGCTCGTGAAAAGCCCAATCAAACAACAAAAGCAATGAATGTTTAAAATAGCATTTTCAAATAAACGTTTTAAGTAACTTGGTTGGAAAGTAGCAAGGGAATCCTTCAATAGAGTAGCAAGGTTTTAATTTCTAAATATCGATACAGGCCGATACATTGGTTGAGCGTATCAGCTTGTATCGGTGTTTTTTTTATGTTTTATTTTTTTTCAAAACCAGTTCAAAGGAGTCAATTTATGTCCCGACTATCCTCTGAACCATGGCCTGACCCGATACATCTCCTGTAAGAGTATACTGGGAAGAGCACTCTGTTAGCAATTGACTGATAGCCACAGAACTCGCCAATTGCAAGCACTTGGTTGATGTAGCAAAACTATACATGAAAGAACCTCCTAACAGGTTGCCATGCAGTCAATTAATGGCCAAACTCGGTGTGTGGTGGTCGACAGTGTATTAGCCATGAACAATCCAATGGAAGCAATGAAAATGCATATGTTTACACACAAAACACGAGTATGTTGGTGCGAGAAATGGAGAATATAGATGGTGACATGGTGTTGATTTATTGTCATAAATGGTAGCAAGGAAATGGAGAAGTGTTGAATTATTGTCATAATTCATAAATTGTACTAGGGGCATTTTGATAACCTTAGGGTCAAAATGTAGGGAAGGCTTATATGATTGTCAGAAAACTCGAGAGGATTTTACATTTCGCCTTTTAATTTAAAAATCCGGTTGAACCTCTGACCAGCCACCTAAATCAAAAAAGGTTCTATTTTTGAGTTAGGTTTTTAAGACATTAGTTAAAAATGCCATATATTTGATAATTAAATAGAATGGTTAATAAAGACAAATAAGGTTGTGGAGAAATTTAGGCGCTGTTTGGATAGACTTCTACTACTCATAATTAAGTAATGGAATCTAACTTGAGTTCAAAATTTGACGACATTGCAATGGGCATTCAACATTTCACTTTCCAAAGTGAACAKGATTTAAAACAAAAAACAAAATCTTGACATGGATTAAAAAAACAAAAAAATCTAATAAATTTTGAGACGGTCTCAAGACACAAAGGTAAGAGAGAAACTACTAACATGGAGCCAATCCTTTTACAAGTGTAAAACATAGATGCATTACATTAGGCAACCACTAAAATGTGTCAAAAATATTAGCAATACATGGGCGCTGCAGGGCATTTTCAGCTTTTCGCTTTCACAATGCCAGAAATTCCTTAATCTACTCGCTATCTGATCCATTCCCTGGGTTTGCGTTTGCCGTTGGATTCTTGTAGTCAGCCATTTGCTCTTTGTACCTTTTCTTATCATCACGAGCCATTGCCTCAAATGGCTCCTTCTCTGCCGCTGTAGACAAAAGTTTTAGGGGAGTGGACTATAGGGGTCAATACTCATTAGGCCCATTAGACACAACATTGATATACTTTACCAAAAAAAAAGACACAACATTGATATAAAGATGCATAAGATAAAATATCCTGAGCATCAAACAAAAACCGTTTGTTCAAACTGATTAAATATTCTTTAAAAGACATGCTTGCCAACCATATACATGTCCATGATCATGGATATGGGGCGTATCCTATCCATATCCATAATCATGGATACAAGAGATACGCTACGACTGAATACGTATCCTACAAGTCATGCATATCGATATAATACACCCCTGCATCGGGCCGTATCACACCGATCGGATACACATCGATATGGAGGTGTATCCGTGTCTAGTTTAACAATATTATACATTGAATACTTTTGGATTGTTTTTCATCTTTAATACAAGTTAAAAAATAGTATTATGAAAACTAAAATAAATAATTTAAGATTTAATTTTTCAAAAAAAATAATAAAAAACAAAAATCATAAAATAATATATTTCATCTACCTTAGATGATTTATATATTTTATTTTACACATAATTATAAGTTAAAAATGAAAGCATAGTTATTATTTGAAAAAATAGAGTTATTATATAAAAATACTAAATAAATAATTTTTCCCAACAAAATTAATGGAAAATAGAAAATTATAATTATAAAAACTGAAACGAATGTATTAAGATTTAATTTTCTCAAAAAATTTAATAAAAACTGAAAATTAAATATAATTTATTTTATCTACCTTAAATGATTTATTTGTTTTATTTTACAACTGTGTAAAATAAAACATTATATGTTAAAAATGAAAACATATTTATTATTTAAAAAATGGTTGTTATTTAAATAAAATATTAAATTAATGAATATTTCCAAAAATTAATAAAAATTGAAAATTATAATTATAAAATTGAAAGAGTTGTACAATGTCAAAATGTTCTAGTGTCCCGGTATTATTTATTGTAATATTTCTCTTCATATAACCTATTGAAGTATGTATTTCTCATGTGTTTATATCTTATTCATAGATGATTCAGCTTTTGGTTTAATATGATGCATGTACTTATATGATTTGTATGCATTTCACTAGCGTATCCAAGTGTTTTTATATCTTTCATTCGTATCTATGCATTTCCAAAATGGTTTAGTATGATGCATGTATTTATGTGATTTGTATGCATTTCACTAACGTATCCAAGCATTTCTATATCTTTTGTTCTTATCCATACATTTCCAAAATGTATCCGTATCCGTATCCAAGTTATCCGATACAATATCCGATAATAATAATAATAATAAAGCACATACTGGGATTAAGATGAGAATACCTGACATCTTCTTCCATTTGTCTCCAAGGGCCCTCGCAACATCAGTTGAGGAAATTCCAGGATTAGTTTTCTTTATATTCTGCCAATGTACAATCAAACAGGTCATGTTCAATGTTGTTGGAATTTGGAAGAGATAAAGAGAAGCATAAGTAAAACAGAATATATCCAGACAACGATACCATTTATAAATATGGGTTTGGCTATGATACTAAAAAGACATGATACCGGAAAAAATTTGTGACCAAACAACAGCGCTATCAGTAAGTGGTAACCAAAGTTATTTATCACAATTCAAGGGAAAGCTCTTCTGGTATCATGTCTTTCCAGCATTATATATAGATAGATAGATAGATAGATAGATAGATAGATAGATATGTTCTGTGCACGTAAACAGGTTTTTTAGTACAGTTATTCAGAGAAAGTGAGCAACAGCTTAAAAGACCCAGGAATTTTCCATGTGGTTGCATGACAGGGAGTGCAGATGGGGCCGACAAGTTGTTTGCAGCATCATATGCGTCTCCAACCTATAAGCAATCTCTGGTGAAATTCAAAGAAAATAATTGAAAATTTGGATAATGGAGAGGGTCAAGGACACGGAATAGAAAGTGAAGAGACAGCCAACCCAAAGGTCACTCCCATCTGGCAGATGGTTAAGATAGGCAACATTATCCCTTCACATGGCAAAATTAGGATATGTTGGTTGGAAAGGAAGCTTGACCCAATTACAGACAACACAACCTTATAATATGTAATCTGAAAGAAAAAGCTAAATTCACGACAGCATGCAAAGAAACTAAAGATTCTACCCTCTACAACTTACATCTCTTTCACTTTGTGAGAAGTGAAAGAACCCAGACATTGCCCTCTTTGGTGCATTCGGGTCCTTTTTCCTTTTCTGTTTTCTCTTCTTTTCATCTCCCTCCTTGGGTTTCCTTTTAGCTGAAGGTGCCTTAGAAGCAGAGGAATCTTTCTTGACTTCCTTTTTGGTAGGATTCTGGCACAAAAACAAACAGGTGTAATAAATAGAAGATACTCCAATTATTCAACTTAAGCAAACAAAATCAAATCAAAGTTATTTGCCTCTTTTTGGTCTCCACTTTCACTAGCATCAGATTCCTCCTCTCCAGAATCATCAGTTGGAGAGCCACCATCATCCTTATCTGCAACAAAATCTTCATCCTGGAGAAATTGCAACAAATCCAAGTACATCAGGAGATTTAGTAATGCCCCCTATACGAAACATAACATAAAAATCCTCAAAGTGTTCTGTAGAGATTAAGAGGGTGTTCCCTAATATGCATGATTTTGTTTRTTAAACAAATAACAATTGCCAGGTCAGGGAAAAAAAAAGCATTTTTTTTCTGGTGTAGCAGTTGTTTTTGTTCTAAAAAACAAATTTATGCATATTGATGACCCCCCCCCCCAATGTAAAATCAGAATTCAAGTAGTTCTTATATTTCTCATGAAGAACTAATTTACAGTTGGGAGAGAGTTTTTGGGAAGTCCCATGCCACCTTCATTTTTCTTCACTATAATTTACAGTTGGGAGAAAAAATAAGATGATTGTCTTATGAGACTGTAAAAAAGGTTATTCATCCATGATAGCTGAGGTATACCTCTTCATCAGTCTCATCACCAGCTTCATTCTTGATCCGCTCAAGATGCGGGTCAACAGCATCATCATCATCATCATTCTGAAGAACAGCTGCAACGCCTTCTGTAGTCTGAACATCTCCAAGATTCATTATTTTCAAACCTTTTCCACTGCACAGGACCAAATCAACGCCTTTGAATGCCCATTTTATATGCACATTATCTTCTCCAAGCCTGAAAATTTGCAAGAATCTAAGTTGTACAAAGAACAAGGGTAAGTTCGGAGAGACTCACCTTATGAAATCAAAAAGGTTATGGTATTCATTCCTTTGGATATTCCGAAAGAGATGTTCTTGCTCACTCTTTAGTCTGATGAGCAAGTCAAAATAATGCATATTTGAACCTCCAGCAGCATGTCTCTCAAACTCCACATAATCAATCTAGAAGACAAAAAAAAAAGTTTATTAAACTCTTGATATTTAAAAGCATTCATCATATAGACAAATTATTCATCAGTTCAGATATATATTCAATTATTAATTTAAATGAATAATATATTGATACCTCATCATGAAGAATGAGAGTAGGAGGCTTGGGGAGAAAGAAGAAGCCCTTCTCAAGTGGATATAGTACTCCATCTTCAGCTTTCAATGATGACTTCACAGCGTAACCATCTTGACAACTACGGAACTTTCCAGGCCTAGTAACTTTAGCACCAGATAAGCCACGCAATATCATAGTGAAGACTTCATGAATGAGTCCCTAAAGTTTTAGAGAAAATCCAATCAATATGATCTCATAAACTAGAGCCACTCAAGAGATGTCACAATTTGCAACTCAATGGAATCCAACCAAGAGGTTCATTGATAACTGGAGAAAAAAAAAGGAAGACTAACTAATGCGTAACCTTATATGATGGTTCCAATCTATCTTTATACTTGGTATTTAAGAGATCTTCATTCATTGACAAGGTGCTCTCAACAACAGTATCTGTCTCAAACTGTAAAAGACAGAAGGTGATACATAAACCAATTCAAAATAGAAATGTTGCAAGTCTTATGGAACCCCACATAGAACCAAAAATTAAATAAGATTAACTGGCATTACCTGCAACACAATATGTGGGTACAAAGTTTGGCCTTTACGAATTGGGGGATCAAGAGTAACGACAACAAAGGTATGTGGTTGATTAAACTGTACATAAGACAAGCCCATATTAGATAGGAAAAAGCTTAGCACCACCAAACATTAAAAGAAAACCCCATTTACGGCCATAAGATTACCATAAAGCATCAAAATAAACAGAGATAAAGCTATAAATAATTGGTTCTTTTAGATGTCAGAGAGAACCAATTCGCATTGAAGAATTTGATCCAGAAATTTCTTAGCCAATTAATAGTGCATTAAGAAGTTGGGAAAAAACCTTCGGCAGTAGAAAAAGGCGAACAACACTGCTATACTGGATTTTAAAATCATTAGCCTGCCCTTGAAGACGCAGGAAAGAAATATGAAGTTCAACACTATACCGACCCCTACAGATAGCAAATTTCTGGGTTAGATTTTTAATGCAGAAAACAACCATAGCTCAACAAAATAAGCAATAACTTTAGGAAGGAAGTAGCAAGGGCAAGAGTACAGATGATGCCTCTCAAAGATATATCTTATCCAATTCAATACCATTACATACCTTGGTGTAAGAATCGCAATCCCCTCAAATGTAGCAACAGCTTCCTCACCTGACGGACCAACATCCGCCATTGACATGATTTTATCACGGAAAACCTAATAATAGGAAGTTAGTTCACATATGTGTGAATATCTGATGTTTACCCAAACAAACCTAACAAAACAGCAACATGAACATACCTGAGCTGGGGGACGAGTTTCATCACCAACAAACTGGGTGTTGGAACTAGGTATGTGAAAACCAATCTCAACTAACGAATCTTTCTGTGATCATAATATGCAAGTATTGAAAACAATATAAGTATTGCAGTAAGCAATAATTGCAAAATCAGCACCTTAACACCAGAATTTTAACCATTAGACTTGGACAAAAAAAATTGATATGATCATTACATCCCAGTCTTACCATTCAGCTGGAATCCCAATTCCCAAGAAAATGTTATTTATAGATATATTAGATATAGTCTTATAGCAGAAACTAATATGTGGGGTGATATGATCACCTCATTGGCTCCAGTTGTATCATCCAAATGGAACTCTAACATCACTTCATTTTTTCCCTGAAGCTGTGTCTGTGAAACATCTGCTAAAGACACTTCAAATGCCTGCTTAGATCCTACCAGAAAACTCAGCATATTCCCTGCAAAAGACAAGYTCCACGAACATTGAGAACAAGAACCCAAGCCATACAAGGATTGAAACTGGCTAATATCATTTGGTTATTTAGACCTCAAAGTAGAAGGTGATTATAGTGTTGTATAGACTGGTTAAAAGAGATCAGCAACTTGGATATATAGCCAGCACCTAAGGGAAGCAAGCTTCCATGTATCCAGATTGCACACCTTATTTAACTTGATTCCTAATAGTGCCAGTTCCTAGGGGCTAACAGTACTGATCTATATGAGGGGTCTGACCTAGATGGCAGACAATTGTAAATATCAAATGATGAAATGTATGCAATATAAGTACTTCTTAGATGATTATAGCCAAGTGATATCCTTTCAATTACATTTCTGCAATAAAATTTGATTTAACTATTATCCACAAAAAGCCACTCAAACATTAAAACTGCAGATAAAGTGAAGGGACAAACTATGACAATGGTGGCCAGTTCAAAGGTCAGAGAGGAACCCAACTTGCATATGAAAAAGAGCTAACTCAAAATTTTCTTGGCCAGTTCCTAAAGGTAGGGTTTTTTGTTGGGACACATGGAAGACTTTGCAAAAAAGGGGACAGAATTGGTACCTCTCACTCCTCATAAATGCTTTCTCTTTGATGCAAGGGAACAAAGAAGAAACTGTGGAATCTTAGGTGTGCAAAGAAGTACATGATGGAGCAAATACAGAAAAAAAGCTAACCTTTTCTCTAAAAAAAAAAGAAAGATCACCAACCATTGAAGCCAARCTACAACTTAGTAATTCCTGATTCAATTCAATATCAGCAAAGGGTGGTAACTAGTGCACATACCATTTTTGATAAGTGAGTTGATCCCTAATTTATAAACCAGAAATGTTTTTCTTAAAAGACAAAACCCCTAGCATAGTTAGTTACTGTTATTATTTTGGAACAGTATTTCTTGTCCTTTTACAAGAGAATGTGATACATTTATCAACCAGGGGCTGTGCCCAAACCAGCACCCCTCAGCAAATCCCTTGTAGTGAGAGCTATCAGAAATATTTAAAATAAAATAAATCCTCATCCCCTTTACATGATTCCATAAGATATAACTATTAGTGTCACCATAAAGAAAAAAGAGATAAAAAGGTAAAGGTGTAAAAAAAAAGGTTATAGATCTAGAAAGCTTGTATATATACAACACTAGGCATTCCTGAAAAGATGTATAATTATGAGCAGTTAGAGAATTTATTTCCATGTTCCTACAACAATTATCCTTTAACAAGTGGAGGGAAAATATAGAAATTCCTTGGGAAATAATACTTTGGAGAAGATGGAAGTGAAAATGCATAAAGTAGAAGGAAATTAGCTATAAAGCTTGTTAGCTTCTTACTGACCATTCAAATCAATTTCACCCCAATTCTGACCACTAACAGAAAGCTGTTTTTCCTCTGGTGTTATTCCAACGGCGTTTTGAATAAAATTTGTCAAGCTCGTGATATCCTACAAAACAAGAAGAAAGCACACAACATGAATATTAGCAAGCTCAGTAGACATGGCTTCATCATAAACATTTGCATGCTCCCTTTTTTGATAATTTAGGAAACAGGGGACACAGGAAAAGGGGAGTGTAGCACATCTATGCATATCCATTTCAGTAATATAATCTAAATCATGCTCCTTAGGTTTAATTTCAAACTTCTCAGCAAAGACCAGAAACAAGAATTATTTTTCATTAAATGAACACCACCACAAAAGGCTATATTTTTTGTATCAATAACAGAAACATTATTAACAAAGGAAGATTACAAATACAGCATCCAAGAGGAGGGGTAAACTCTCTTACCTTCCCCAAGGACAGCCAAAGCACAATCAATGAGTTACAAACAAGCCCACAAAGATTGAGCCCTTCCTACCCCCTGTTTAGCTAAGGCATCAGCAAAGGAGTTAGCACTCCTTTTGACCCACTGAAGCCTTACTGCCATACCCCTTGGCAACCACTTGAATTTCGTTTTTTTTCAGTTGCATATTCCCATAGTCCATTCTCTGCTTTTTCCGGCCAGCTAATAACTACCTTGGAGTCACCTTCAATGATTAGATTATGTAAATTTAATTCCTTTGCTCTTTTTATCCCTTCCAACACAGCCAAGACCTTTGCCCTGAGAGAATCACCAACACCAATTGACTCAGAAAACAAAGCCAAAACCTGTCCTTACTCATTCCTAAATACACCTCCAATACCTGAAGGCCTTGGGTTACCTTCGCTGCTTCCATCAAAGTTTAACTTTATAAACCCTTCATCTGGTGGAGACCACAATGGAGTAGAGACATCTTTCCTTGGAGCTGATTTAGCCACTTCCTCCCAAAAGGCTATATTTTTAATTCTGTTCTTTTGAAGAGCAAATTATTTTTTTCTTAATGCCATAGGGTCAACTAAACCTCAAGATAATTAACATAATTTCTAATTTTTTATTGTTCAGAGAAGTCACAACTCATGCTTCTCCATGGGTCCTTTGCATCTGTTATTCTCCTTTCTCTAATAAAATTTTCTCATTAAAAAGCATTAGTTACATTAAAGTGAGCATCAACAGAAGAGAGCACCATAGTTCAAAATTAAGAGAAATAGAATGAGAATTCCAAACAGGAGTCTTGCAAAAACAAACAAGACTACCCACTAGATGAAATAAATTTCTTAAATATTAATGAAAAGTTGCATATGTTTCTAAATATTTTATAACTAAAAAGAATTCAAACAAGGAAAGCAATAGATCTTTCACAATATAATGCAGAAAGCCTTTTAAAAAATCATTTATTTTTTTCCCTTTTATTTTCCGGTTTCTGCTTCTTTCTCAGTTTATCACCCCATTAATAATTCTTTCCAATTTTTGTTGCCTTCACAATTCTCAACATGATTTTTAAATCCCCATAATGGCCAAAATTCACATAGCATAAGAAAGAAAAGTTGATAGACAAGTAGATGAATCACCTGGTCTCGGAAGCCTGTGAATTTGTAGTACAGACCATCTTTAATTCTAACCCCAAGTTGATTGGTTCTAGGGACTTTCATCCATGTCACACCAACAATGTCGGCCTTGTCAACTTCAACTGCCTTTCCTCCTCCTTGCTTCTTCCATATAATTCCTCCTGAATGAACCCTAAGTTGCCCAGGGTTCTGAACAATTGAGGAAGTGAGAGAGAGAGAGAGAGAGAAAGGCAATAGCATTAGAGTGAAATAGCTATTGAATCCGAGATACTAAGAGGAAAAGGTTAAGTGAACTTGAAAAACAACAACGAAAACAGACAATGTTGCGATCCATGTCAAGTTCATCTGAAACCCTAGAAACATATAGTGATCCTGCTTTTGCAATCCAAAAGATGCAGGGAATTTGGGAAATCAAGTTCCAAAAGCCAATAACATAAGTCCCTGAACCCTCTAACCACGTTTATAAAATCAAATTACATAATCCAATATTAAACATCAACACAGATGAAAGCAATTAGGGAAAACTTTAATCTTTCAGAAAGGCAGTAGATGGAGGTTGCATATAATAATCCTTAGATGTCTACGATTCTAAAAATACCAATGTAAACAAACAAACAAAAAAAAAAACTCAAAAGTAATAAACTTGTGAACTTGAAAATAAAATTTCAAAGAAATCCAAAAACTTGAAAAAAAATGCTCATAGTTCTCCAAATAAACTGAAGGGCAAAAACTAGAAACCCTAAAAAGAAGCAATAAGTTTACATTCTCCTTCCAGATTCACAGAGGAGGTTGTGAAAAAAAATAAACCGAAAAATCTAGAAATGTATTGAAAAAACATCGGAAAACCCAATAAACAGGTATCAAACTCTTCACTTCAACGCTCAAAAGGCTTCAATAAGGAACATAGAAAATAAATATGGAAAAGAGAACACCAAAGGTACGTATTGCCTAGAAGAAAGAAAAACGAAGTATTAGGGTTTTGAAAACGGTAATGGTGTCAATAATCAATAGGAAACCAAGTCTAAAAAAAATGTTCCACCAATCCCTAAATCGAGAGAGAGAGAGAGAGAGAGAGAGATCACAGTTCCACCACGACCACCGAGAAGAATGTTGTTGAACAGATGACCATCCGTCATGACTGATAGTTTGGAGAGAAAATCTCCAAGGAGAAGAGAAACGAGAGCTCAGGTAAATCGCTCGGTCTGCTTCTATTTGTAAGTTTAGAACGCGGGTATTATTTCTCTGATTAAGGGTGTATATAAATATAGTGCGATCGCGAAAAAATGAGAGTGTGGCAGTTAGTGTATCTTGATGCTCATCTCGACGGAGGGTTTGCCGCCATTTTATTGCTACTGCTAGGCGAAGGCGCTCGCTAGGCTGCTAGCGTCGTTCTCGTTCTGTTGCAATGCATGAATTGAATGGATCCGATTTCATTGTTCAACGGTTTCGATCGATTGTTTTTACATCCGTACACGTCCCCTACTTGATTGTTTTAACGGTTGAGTGTATTTACATCCGTACACGTCCCCTACTTGATTGTTTTAACGGTTTCGATCGATTTTCCATATCGGGTGGATGGCGCAGCTATACTGATTCCCAATTCCTTGATGGCCAACCGTTAATCTGGTTTGATTTTAACCGTTTTAAGTGTTCATTAGAATTTAGAAGTAATAACTCAGCTTGAATTTTTTCATCTTATTCCTTTGATCCTAAAAATTCCTTCAATTGAAATGATATCAATATGTTATTACATTTGGAGGAATGCATTCAAACAACAAATTTGAATTATGGACAATTAAAAAAAAAGGGATTATAGCAAATAAGGAAAACTTTTAGGCCCTAATTTAATAAAATTTTAAAAATAGGTTAAATTTTTAAAAATAATATTAAATAAGGACAAAATTACTATTTATCTTCTTTCTCTTGTAGATCATTCATCAGCGTCGCTGTCTCCACCTCTGCCCAACACCGCCACCTCTGGAGGCGGAGGTAGGCGGAGGTGTCATCGGAGGTTAATGGAGGCGACGATAGGCGATGGCGCAAATAAATGATCTGCAAAAGGAAGAAGATGAACATTATTTGTGCCCTTATTTGATATTACTTTTAAAAACTTAACCTATTTTTTAAATTTTATTAAAAATATTACTTTTATTRATATTAGGGTCCAAAAGTTGCCCTTATCTGCTATAATCTCATTAAATTAAAAGAACGACATATCCAAAAGAATTAGGCATAGTAAAAAGTAATCAAACCGAGTTGAGCCRAATTTGAGCATGTCTTATTGTATTYGCTTGGTTCGATTGAAATACTTCTATATTTGAGTTCAAACTTGATTCAAATTTGTTTTTTTTTTAATTCCGTTCTATTAAATATTCAATAATTTCGAATTCAGCTCAAAATTTTGAGAAACTAGTATTTGTATATTTTAAAAATATTATATATACAGCCAAACGTTTTATTAGTAGAATTCAAATCGAATCTAATCAAACTTAACCCAAACTGTTTGATTAAAGCACAACTCATTTCACCGCTAGTAAAACTTGAGAATGTTAGGATTTTTTTAAGACTGTTCAWTTTTTGGATTTTAAAGGGGGAAAGTTGTTAAATAGAGTTGTGGTTTCCATTGGTTAGYTTATTCATGTTCTTATTTCAGAAACATGTGAGATTTATGGCAAATTTGATTTTCCCTTGTGGGACTCAGAAACATGTGTAATACATTTCTTAGCAAAATGAGTCTCCCAAGTAAATGGGTAAATGAAAAAATGTTTAATGGTTAAAAATGCTCCACAGAATACATCTATCCAAATAAATTAAATATGTACATTTACCTGGGCAAGCATTTTTCAGGTAAATCCAATAAAGTAGGTTCCTGAAAAACAGACAAGGCCTAGAAGGAGAAAACTTACAAATGGGAAATTGAAAATGCTAATAAACAATGAGGGCATAGCCAAAAAAAGGACATTATTTACTAGCATTCCCCTAAACAAAGATATGCTGTAACCATGGGCCATGAAACCATGGCAACCATCATTTTCCTCACATTAAGAAAATAAGCCCACGAATGAAATTGACAGAGACCAAAGGGGTTTTCTGATGCTTACATCTTTTTCTGAGGGGTGAAACCAGAACTTTGTTCATGAACTTCTAGTTTCAAAATCATAATTTCCTTTAGTGATTCATGTTATGTTTCATAAATCATACAACATTAAGATCAAAATTCTTATGAAATAGATATCGGTTCACGTTTCTTATACTTATTCTTATTTATGCAAATTTCCAATTTGGTATGATCAATAGGAACTTTAATAGGAGGTTTTGGTGTTTGCACAACACATTGAATGGTAACCCATATCAGAGAGCATTGTGAGAATGTGGACATGCTTTTCCTTTTTGAAATTTGCTGTTCAGGTCCATTTAGCTTACCATGACTACCACCTGAGACCTGATTAACCAAGGTTTTCAAAGCCGGACCAGACAGGAAACCGTTTTAGAGTCTGATTTTTAAGTTGAACACTCTGATCGTCTCGTTCAAATGGACGGTCTGATCTGACAAAATAATTAAAAAATGCCAAAAACCATTCCCAGGTCGAACAGTTAGATGATTCAACCACCCGGGTCAGCGATTCTCTGATCAAATCAACAGCTTTTGAGAACTGGTCAGGTCCAGTTTTTCTGGTCCGGTCGGTTTTGAAAATCATGTGACTATAATGAGAATGATGATTAGGAGCTTATGACAAGAAGAATCTGCTGCAAGAGTATATGATTTTGCAGAACTCAAATATTTGGGACCGACAATTTTCACAAAGTGAAACGGTAGCATTCAGGGGGGTTCACAAAGGTCGGTGCATTGCCTTTCGACCCCAAATGAAATCTGGTCGAACCAGTGATCAAGTTAAAAAACAGATCACTCTGGGGTTTTGAATTTCAATACAAAAGACTATTGCATCTTCGTTGTATTTGAGGTCGCAAGCAAGTGCTGCATCCCTGCTACTCCTTGCAGGGTTTTTTGAACAATACATCTCATAGTTGATCTATCTCACCAGGTTAATATGTCAGCATTTTACGGAGAACGAGAATAAGGAATCCATCATGTTTGTCGATCTTGACTTACTGCAGAAACGTTTTCCCAATAGTTTGTTTTAAAAATTTGAGAATAAAAAAGAGATCCTTGAATACCACTTTGAACAACTAATCAATAGGAAAAAAAAATGGCTGTTTATGTTCAACAGCTTGTGCGATCTAGTGCTCCAAATGGATCGAAGGATTTGGTAAGAGGTATATCTGGTTTGATTCGATAAAATTTCTTAGGCTCAGTTTGGTAGGAGTACAAATATAAATATGTAGATAGCAAAACCTTGTATTTTGTATTATTTTATATGTATTTGTACTCTTTCCAAACAGAGCCTTAGTGATTCAAATCCGTTAATAATCCAGCAGGTTTTACAAAGGCTGATTCGAATTTGATCCAATAATTTTAAAGGATATCTGATTCGAATCAGATTGTTAACTATTGAGAACTTTCAGCGATTAGAAGATCTACAGTTTATTGTACTTGATACAGGAAGTCAGGAAGAGAAAGAGAGATTAATAGGGGGCAAGTAGAAGATTTACAGTTTCAGAGAAATTACTTGCAGTCCCGAGCGATCGACCAGTTGCAATGGCTAATTGGAACTAGAAACTGATTGCAACGAATGATCCTCCTGTTTCTGAGTTTAAATGGCTGAGCCAGAGAGTGAGAGAGACAGCAAAAGAGGGAGATGTGCTAGTTTCCAACAGGGTGGTGTGTTGCCAACGGCGCTGCCAGTGATGGAATAGCAGACGCACTCAGCCATAGTGGTTCAAGTTCAAGTTCAAGTGTTTAACGACCACAACCGTTCAAAGATGAAGAACAACGGCCTACCAGCAGGCTGTTAGGCAAGGTTCTCTGTGTCGGTGGTTTCTTTTTATGTTTTACTTAGTTTTTTTTTTCAAAATCGGTTCAGAGAAACCGGTTTAAGGCCCAATTACCCTCTGAACCAGTGGCTGACTCGATACAACCCCTGTAAGGGCATATCGGGAAGCCACTGACATGATACATATCGGCCAATACATATCGATACTTTGAACCTTGGTTACATGTTACAGACTACAGGTGTCGAATGGCCAAAGAGGAAGATTAAAGAGACGATACAATCCCGTTCATGTTTAGGTTAGGATTTAGGGTTTTTTTGGCTTATAAGTCAAATTACAATTATAGACATAATAAAACTAAAAAATTATAGATATTAAAAACCTTGTTAAAATAAAAAGGGTATACTTGTCATATAAATTATTTAATATATATAATATATTAACAGATCAGATCGGGTCATAGTGGATCAGATTGGTCGATATCCAAATTCGCCCCATTAAGTTAACGGATCAACTTTTCCGTTCCGAACTGATTTATTAGATCAGGAGGAATATCCGAATCCGTGAATCGGATCTGTCCGATTTATTTGCAGCCCTAGTGCGACCCACGGATCCACAATGCTTTTAAGGCATGATTGTATGGAACTATGGACTAATGTTTCTCATCGAGAGAGAGCTCACCAACGGCACAGGTAAAAAACATGTCTTGAATTAAACTACCAAGGATAAGATACACAACACCAGCAAAACCATCTATTGGAACGGATTGTTTCATGGGGGTTATTAAATGCAAGTAAGGAGAGCTGAAATGCTGAATCAAACAAGCAAATGTGGTAGAATTTCTATACATGTAAAATATATCGTCTAAGACACTTCTAACAATTTCTATTGTGCTTTGTGCCAGGTAAATTTGCACACAGAATAGTTTTGTCCAAGGCCGAAATTCTACATGGGAAGTGCGCACCAAATCAAACAAGTACATTTTTCCCTTTTGAGTAAAGAGAATAAAAAGGTAAAAAAAAAACCAATTTGATTTTTTTATCGGCTTACATTCCAATTATTCAATTCGTCAGACTTCTCCACAGGCATATGGAACATAGAAATCCTGGCAAACATCTCTCTTTTGAAAATATTAAATTCAACACTTGATGGAGGCAGTCCTGCAAAGCATGTTTCATAAATGCATCAGAGAAATTAAAGATTAAAAAGGGGCTCAACCAAAATAAAGGAAAAGGCGAAAGGTTGGCCAAAGTCAACGAGGGATTCATGTGCAATTGCTATGAGACAGCCTCCAAGGCAATAACCAATTGTGTGTGTGTGTATATATGATTAATAACAGAATCAATTTCATTAAAAAGATAGAGGAATTTTAGAACAAAAAAAAGGGATAAACATTCCGGGGAAATTTCCAATTTAAATATTTGCAAAGGCAAAACCAATTGCATAAGCCGCAGATAACCAAAACATATAAATCCACCTCTACCCACTACCAGGGAAATTTCCATCAACCCAGATTTTCAAGTGGTTACCAATCCATGCAGTGATCAACTGACTACGAATTGGAAGCACAATAAAGTTTGTATGATAACCCCAAAAATCTCAGTGTTAATTCCTTTTATTACTACCCTGTTATTTAATTGATTTACCTCTGGTTGCATCATAAACTTTTGGTCTGGGTGGTTGAAAGAGCGTGAAGAAAGAAAGGGGTGATAATAAGAACTTCAACAGGAACTAAACCTAAAATCGAAGTAAAACTCCATCCAAACCTGGTCAAGCTTTTGGGATGGTTCTCCAACTTGCCAAAATCATTTTGCATGGTTCCATTAGTCTTATCAATATTTCCTGATGTAATGGTGTCTGCAATTTGCTTGAGACCCTGCAAGAATGTAAAAGGAAATAATATTCCAAATCCAATTAAAAATATTTCATGGTATATTTCCATAAGCTTCTTTCTTTCTCAAGTCTTAAAACTAGATTCACCAAATTACCATAGTAAGCATCAAGAAAAATTCCATGACTGAAACTATAGTCCAAAGATTTGCAAAAATAATCAAAGGTGAATTGTAGGATGGAAACATCTTATAGCAATAAGCTAGTTGAAGCAGGTAGAGTAGCATTGACCTAGCTCCAAATTTTCCATGTGATCCATGCAAAAAAACCTATATTCTTTGTACATTTTACTGTATAGGTTTTACCATCAAAAAAATACAAACAGCTAATGATTAAAAAATCTTAAAGCAATAAAAAGGATCATCTGATAGGATGAAAAGCAGGTAAATAGGATGCCCTTTATCAGGCATATTGACTTGCAACAAAGAAAAGCATGATTCTTCTTGCATTATGACAAGATTTCCAGCATCTGGTACTGAATTATAGGTTACCAGAATACGACTTCCTATAGTTGTGTCACTAATGAAAAGGGAATAATCCCAAGTTGAACTTTAGACCTATAAAACACTAGATTGGTTTTCAGCATGTGAACAGAAAATCCATCAACACAGTCAATGTCCTAAGAAGGGTATAATCCAGAATGCCTTTGAAGGCGCATAACATCACTCCTCTGTAGCTAGTCCTTTATTAGGAAAACTAACTAACAAAAGCATAGAGTAAAGTATAAACCTTTAGAGATGGAGCCTCTGAAATAAGACCACGTGACCTATTAGACGGTTTAGGCAGAGACTGCAAAACATGTCAAACAAACTGTCAGCACATATATAATTGCAGTTTTACCTCAAATGAAATGGTAATACAATCACAGAGAGTCCCATTTGGTTGATTTTTTTTTTTTTGATAGTTTCCATTAAGTTGAAAATTGTTAACAAGGTTACAGTTTAGAAGTAGAAGTATCAATTGTGGCATATTCAGGTATGGCAAAACACAGTGCCCAACCCACCCAAACAAATAAAACAGCTATGTACAGTTCATAATTCCAACCTGCAAAAAGTCAGACATTTTTTGATCCTTTGCACCAACAAAGTTGCACAGGTACCACACACCAGCATTTGCAAAATCCTGTCACCACARCCAGTACAGGGAATAAGAATATAAACAACTGGGTAATTGTTTTTATGCTACCAGTGTCCTTAGCTACAAGTCAGGAACGAATACAGGCTCAATAGCAGCATGCCAGCATCTACTATATGATAATAAGCCAACCAAAGTCACTTATTGACAATATATTTTTGACATGGATAAAATCCAGAGTTGGAACAGAACTCAATAGCATGGTAAAATAGTATTGCAGTTGAACTGGAATGTAGAAGATATATCAATATATCACTACAGAATATAAAGTGATGTCATATGAGACCCTAAAATTTTAACCTAAAATTAATGCCTGACTTCAACCATTCTCAGATATTCTCTCTTTCTCTCCAGTAAGGACTGAAGAAAGAGATTCCTTGTGGGTAATAATATTGCCTACATCTAATTACTTTAAGAGAAAAGATATTGCCAATGTATGTATAAACACTGCCACAGAAGCTGCATAAATCCCTTATTTTAAGTAGCTCTGGTAGCATTAACACAACATACTAACAATCCAACTTATTTTTTTACCCCTTAGAAATGCACCCCAGACCCCACAGTGGCAGGGAGCCCCGTGCACTGGGCTGCTCACCCCTTATAAATGCATCTTACACCACATATCTGAAATGTTATGTCATTTGAGATGGGTCCCCCAATAAAACAGTCCATGAGAGTTGCATAATATTCCAGCTGTGTGGTGAAAGATGCATTTCTAAGCAGCATAAAGGGAAAAAAAAAAAAGATATATCCTTGGCATTTCTCTTGGCAAAAGCATATTTTGCCTAAATAATTTCTCTTTTTAATCATTATATTAATGAACAACCAATAATTCTCATGTTGTGGTTTCATGGTAACCAAAGCAAAACTTACCTAGTCAAAGTTTAGGTCAAACATCTAATATCTATATATCTTGTTATCAAATTTCGACAGGCTTTGATTATTCCAGTCAAAATATTATACTAATAGCATGAAAAACATGATTTCAGTTCAAAAAGGGACGATTCTTTCTAAAAATTAATGAAAATGCTAGAATTTTCCAAGAAAAGGAAAAGAGTCCCACTGAAGTAAAGGGGTGCATATTAACAAGAACAATTTTATGATTGAAAACTTCAGACCTTTTTGTGAGTTATTCTTATGATGATTTTCAGAAAAGTTGGGTAGGGGTGGCCTCCACAGCTTCCAAAAAGAATGGATTACATGTAGAATGGAGGCCCCCAATGGAGGGTGTTGTAAAGCTGAACTTTAATGAGAATAGCCAAGGCAATCCAGGACCTTCAGGTGTAGGAGGGGTTTTGAGAGATAAGGAGAGCAACATTCTATCCTTATTTCAGGCCAGTGGGAATTGGTGATTCTACAAGGGCTGAGCTGCTGGCTGCGGTACAAGGGACACAGATTGCCAACCAACTACAAGTGGAGAACTTGATAGTTGAGGGAGACTCTAAGGTGGTAGTGGCCGTAGTGAGTTGGTTGTTGAATACAGGAACAGTTTTCTGGGGTTACAGGGTCAGGGATCTTCTTAAGAAAGTTAATTGGCTCACAAGGAATATTTCAGTCAGATTTCAATGGGTTAGCAGATCGGAAAATGCCATAGATGATTCTTTGGCTAAACAAGGGGTAACTCGGGTTTCTCTGTTTGGGGCTTCCTTATAATTGTATTCATTAAAGACTGTATCCATGTTTTCATTTCTAAGGGGAGGTAACATCTTGTGCCTCCTCTTAGGGTGAATGTATACTTATTCCTCTTATTAATAAATTACCATTCATTTATAAAAATAAAAAATAAAAAAAAAAAAAACTTAAAGGAAATCAATAGATTAAAACAAGAAAACCTCAAATGAACATAAATTAATTTTTGTTTTATTTATTTGTGAAGACAATGCATTACCGTATGACTATGGCCATAAACTATTTGTTTATGGATTGATGTTAAGAACATAGTTTTCAAGGCAACATCTAGGCAACAAGGCGCCCTTGGAGGCTCGCCTCACCCAATTGCCAAGCAGTTATGTATACTGTCTTATAAAATACTTTTATATTGTTACTTTTTTGAGATTACAATTATAAAATAGACATTATTAAACAAAAAAATTCATTTTTTGTGTTTACAAACTAATTTCTTTTTATTATTTTCTTATTTGTTAGGGTTTAATCTACACAAACATTGCTAACTGCTGTATTGAACCTCAAAGACTTCAGAATCTGAACCAATAAGTAAGGGAAAAACTTAAAGTTTTGTCTAATCAACACATTTCTTCCTCCACATTTTCTTTCCACCTTTTCTTTTCTTCTTTTCCTATAACAATAATAGGGGTTCAGTCCCCACATTTTTTGAATTCTCTTTTCTTTCTTCTTTTTCTTCCCATAAATATGTTGATTTTCTAGGCTTAAACATGAAGTTTAAGAAAATTATGGATAGTTATTAAGGAAAGATGGTTATGGAACCTAGGGAACTACCTAGGATATGTATTTTTTACTTAAAAAAAATCCATCACCTAGGCGACTAGGCAACAAGGTGCCCCCCTGTCGCCTAGCCTCGCCTTGGTGCCTTGAAAACTATGGTTAAGAATTTTAGGCAGGCAAAACAGCATACATAATTTTCTATGTTTTGTTTCTGTTTCCTATTCTAAATAGTTGTTTTGGTTGTGTAATAAGTCCTAAGTAGGTATTGATGTCTATTGCATCTCATCAAAAGGTTTAACATAGATTTCAAATATTTCTAGTGTTTTCATAGTTTGTGTGATTTTACAATGTTTCTGTGAGGACAAGACTTTCACATCGACTGAATATTGCATCAAAACCAAAGTTTAAAACCTTACTCGGAGTGTATTATGCAAACTGACAAAAATTCTATGTAAAGGRGTGCTGCATCTTAAGATGGCGGCAAAGCAAGGGTTAAAACTGAAGATCCATTCACATATCCAATTTTGACTCAAGCTAGTCGCCCTGTTTCATGATTTGCATTAGCATGCAGCAAGATGGAGGCAATTTTGTTTCACTGATCCACTCTCAACTCAAGTAAGACTTGTCCTAACTATATGAGGCTGCCTAATAAATCCTGTTACACCATTCACTGATCCACTCTGTCAACTCTAAGCATCACAATTCATCAACAATAACCAGCTAGCTAGTTTGGTGCTTTCTATTTTTCAATCAACTCTCTGGCATATGTGCAAGAAAGAAATTTCATCTTATTCTCTCACAGACAAAAACAATATAGGAATGTCTTTGTACTTCTCATAAATAAATCCCTTTTAAGAGTGTAAGAAGTTAATGACTATTAGATTATGGAAGTTATTTCATATGTTTCTAATTAATTAGCACCAGTTGGAAAGCAAGACACCTTATGAGGGGTATACTTGTAATTGACCTTATAATAGATTAAAAATTTAAAATTAGACTAGATCAACTCATGGTATACCGAATTGATTCTCTCTTATTTTTCCACCTTTCAGCTCTCTTTCTTTATTTTCCTCATAAACCTTAAAAATGAACGAACTGAATTTAGGAAGCACAAATGAATGTGCTATTCTAAGTACAGAAGAACACCAAAAATATTGTTGCAATTTGCAAAAAGTGCTTAACTGATAAAAAAATGTTTAAATTTTGGTAATTTATGGTTTTCAAACTTTCTCCATTTATCAAGTGGAGGGCTGATTTCTGCTGAGCCTTTCCATTTGCATTGGTAGATAGGTTTGCACTTAGGAATCATACAATGATCACCCATCATTGTTATCCATAGTGGTAAGCTTGGACAAACCTCAATTTCATTAGATGCTTCATCAGTACTGTTCCCTAGTTTTTAACTCCCAAGTATTTGAGAATTCATCTCCCTAACATCACGAGTTAGTTGTGACCAATTTTGGCAGGAAGAAAATGGTTAATAGTTTCTACAACCAATATTTGATCACTATATTGGAAGCTAATTGAGATCTCCAAATGAAAGATCAAAATTGTATAGATCCATGATCAAACAACCTGCTGTACCTGGGATCAGTAGGTTCAAGGTTGGGTCGTACCCACAGGACTCGGCACACCTATGACATGTTTTCAGATAACAGCCTGGGTGCAAGAAACCTTAACGGATCAATGATAAAAAAATGGAATTGGGGATATATAAAAGAAATGGAATGGAGATAATCACAGCTAGCCAATCTCCACTGGCAAGCTACCCTCTACAACAAGGCTTTTGGAGTGAAGGGAATGCTCTGCTTCAAATAAAGTCAAGAAACCACCATTTTGACTAAAACTGTAGTCAGGAGAACCAGGAATGGTATGGTTACCTGTCTCCTGCATAGATATGCTGGCAGTGTTTTAAAAGGCGTGGGAGGCATACGCCTGGAGGCGCTCCCAAAACGCCCTGAGGCGTATTCATGAGGCATGCTAGAAGCGTACGCCTCATGCACACCTGATATGAAAATACAGGGAAAAAAAATTAAAAAAGAAAAAAAGGAAAGGAAAGGAAAAGAAAAGAAAGGGAAAGGAAAGGAAAGGAAAGAGAAGAAAAAAAGAGGAAAGGAAAGAAAAGAAAAGAAAAGGAAAGGGAAGGGAAGAAAAGATAAAGGGAAACAAAATGGTTTGCCCCCTGCCCCTTCAGCGAGCTCGCTTCGCTTTGACAAGACCCCCCCTTTGAACTACTGTTATGCATCTTTATTCTTCTTAATATAAAAGATTTTTATTAAAAATAAAGAAAAAATGAGATCCCCCCTTCCTCTTCATCCTCCTCCTAACCCCCCTCCTCTTAAGAAGGCTTACGCCTCCTTGTGTTCGAGAGGCTTACGCCTCTTGCGTTCTGAATTATACACCTCACACCTCTAGGTAGTGGAACGCCTCGCGTCACGCTTCCGCGTTTTAAAATATTGTATGCTGGTAGGTGTAGAACAAGGTATGTATTGTCAACAATCATTGAAAAAGGGTAAGTAAAGAATCAGAGAAAAATCCACTTTAAAATATTGAATACTATATCATGCATGTAATATATTATGCATATAAGTTGAGGACCAAGGTTCACCTGCTTGTCTTCCAACGAGCATATTTTTCCATCCTGAAAGAATGAGAATAAATAAGAATTTAATTAACTTAAACTTATCAAGAAAGGGGAGATGAGATGTTAATATTCAGAAGTTCAAGAATTGAGCTCACCAGACCAGAAACCATTCTTTGTAAAGAATCCAAGTCATAACCAATTTGTGAGAGATCAGCACGAACATCACTCACCTGTTTTACAAGGTTTAGCCCAATCAACCATTGATCTTCAATAGTACTTTTGAAAATGCAGGAAGCTCATAAAGTTTTATGCAGCTATGGTATATGAGCTACATACCCTTAGAATATTGACAAATTAAATATCTCTAATTAGAATCCTTTTCACATCTATAATCTTTCTTAAAAACATAAATATTTATAACACAAGCAGGAAGATCAGAGAAACAATTTATGGTAATGGATATGATTAAAACAACACTTCATCTTAAAAATCATAGATTACCAAAAGAACAGCCATACTAACTAGGTTAAAATGTGCTTCACATTTGGTTTCTTCCAAAAGGAAATGCAAAATACCATTTTTCTCCAAATGTTTGGTTACTCCAACCATCAGCAATCCAGATTATTGCACTCAAAATAACCAAAATACAGGACTTCTTTCCTATGGCATGCCTTTTCTGGACATTCCATATCAAAGTAAACCTGTCAAATAGAGGAGATATCCATAAAAGTGTACCTCATTCTTAATTAATTTTGATATCTCTTTCTGCTCATCTAGTTTTCCATCCAAGTTCTCAATCCGCTGTGTCAAATGCCTCTTTGTGGCCTGAAATATTATTGGGAAACAGAAAACAGATTCAATAAAGCATATACATGCATGGAACAAGGAGTTCCAACTTTACCTTCTTCCAAAAAAWAACAAGGAGTTCCAACTTAAAAGATAAAATGACAAAAAAAAATCATATCAGCAACCATCCAAACAAGGGCAATGCTACTTTACCAAATTGGTTAAACTTTCCTCAAAAAAAATGCTACTTTACCAAATTGCTTGTCCCCACTAATAATGTATGAAATTTACATTTACTAAAATACCCATGTAAGTTAACACCAAGGACAAAGATTCAATCCCCTCTAGAAAATTTAAAATTCCCTGAAAGTTTGCCTGGAACAGAATGTTGAGCATTCATGACTGAAGAAGAGATGAAGACATTGAGATAGATAAGAGACAAGAGCAGAGAGACCCAATCAAATACCAGTTCATATGCAGCAACCTAATTGTAGCTAAATAGGTGATAAAACCATAAGAAAAATTTTATTTTTGGTTGAATATTTAGAYTCGGGACTTTTTTTATTTTTAATTTGAGAACATTCTAGTTTTCCTGCTGGATGTTCATGTCCAGCCATGTAGTTGACTTAATTGAGAATTTTCCATTGGTATTGTTGCCCCACCACATACTGCCTTCTTGGTTTGTCTCTGGTAAATAGGTTTTTATTACTTTGTTCAATAATTCAGGGGGGAAAAAAATCCTTTAATTTGTCTACATCCCAACAGATGCATTTTTTTATTGATAACATGATCAACTCTTAGATAAAGATCTAGGTTTCTTAAATCTAGTTGGGATAAGTGTTGAAACAGGGGCCCTTCATTTCTCCAATTATACACCCAAAACATAATTTTCTCTCCATTTGATACCTTTAGCAAGGTATTACCAAAACCTTCTTGCACCAATAGGTTCAGTACAACTATGCTTTGATGCGTTAACTCCATGTTTTCACACTTTCTCCTCATCCCCATACCCAATATAAGTTACTTGGGTATGGACACTTGATGTCAAAAACCACTTTTTTTTTGGAAAAGGTTAAGTAATTTTATTGAATATTTAAAGAAGCTACAGAATTAGTCAGTCCACTATGAGAATGGCCAGAAATACAACAAGTGCTACAGACACCAAAGGGGCTGGGTCTTAAGTTGCTGGAATACATTTACATGGTTGAAGACTGTATTAACAGCAACCCAAGAAACCAGTTTACTGACTGCATACTGCACAAATTCATCCGGACTTTTCTTTTTGTTACAGAAAATTCTGTTATTTCTTTCAGTCCAAATGGACCAGAGTACAGCTGCCGGGATAGTCTTCCACACCAACTTTCCTTTTTCCTTCAGACCCCTGATCTTCCAACAACATAAGCGTGAAAACATGATATGTCAAAAAACCACACATCAACTTTACTATAACCTCAAAATAACCAAAGCAGTACAACTACTAATGGTGTCGAAGGAGTGGGACTACTAAATATATCTGCATACAGTGTGCACAAATTGTACTAATTTAACTCAATAAAAGTTACCGTTTTCTATCATAAATATATTTGCATACATATTCATATATGTAGATATGTGTGTTTGTCTCTACTAAAATATTTTTGAACCTGTACATCCATGCTTTGACATGTTTTAATTTGTGCCACGCTTTTACACTTTCTCCTTAACCCTTTTTATTAGTAATTCACATCTGTACACTTGATGCCTAAATCCACATACTTACCTTTTTCTTTTAGAAAAAAAGATGACAGTAACCATATTATCCTTACTTTAAACCCAAAATAACCAAAGTAGAATAACTACTAAAAGCATCATGGAAGAATCTAGTATACTCATAGCATATGCACATAAATAGATATGTACATGCATACGAATACATATATAAAAGGGAATGGAATAAGTGTCATTGGGAAGTAGGTGAAATCTTCAGACTCAACTTAAGAAAGCTGCCTCTACTCTTTATTTTCCTATTGCAATTTTTCATATTGCCTCCCCTTTGGCTTTATTTTTCTACTTTATGAGTAGATTCCACCAAACATTGCAGATTCACAACTCTCTCTGATAGTTTTACTAGCTCATGATCAGGATCTAAATGTGCAATGAATGTGCCTCCAGTGCTGGTAGCCTACTGGATCTTTCGTTTTTACCTTCTTTTCTTTAAGATTGATAAACCCAGAGTCACTCCTGTCTGTGATTCTTTACTTGCTTAACACCTTCAATCAGAGCTAGCCTCTGGGTTATAGCTTCTTCTCTTGTTAAGAGCAATGTTTCAGTAAAAATAACTAAATCAATATCAAAAATACTCCTACAGGATTGCTAGGATCACAAAGAGAAAAGTTGTGAGATTTTTGGGCCCTAAGATATAAAGGAATAAGAGTTTCATCATCTTTTAACAGCCTATGGAGGTAGCAAAATTAAAGACATTAACAATTATCTATCAAAACAAGTAAAGTAGTGTGGAAAGATATTTTGGCACGCCTTCCTCGGTTTCAAAGTAGGGGAGGGCAGCAGTTGCCCCTAACAGAGATGGTGTGGTAAGGGATTTCTTGGAGTCTATTAATGGTCAGTTAGTTTGGTTCCCCAGGTTTCAAAGGAACCTTAACGATTGGGAGGTGGATGCACTCCAAAATCTGTTAGGGAGTTTGTAGGAGGTTGAAGTCAATCTCAGATATACTGATACTAGAGTGTGGACTTGTGAAAAGAATGTTCACTACTAAATCTTGTTATGCAGCTGTGTCTGGTCATGGTGTTAAAGTGGCCTGGTCCTAGATTTGGAAGACTCGGGTTCCCTCAAAAATTATCTTTATTTTATGGATTGCAGCAAAGGGATAAAGTTCAAACAGTGGATGTTTTACTAAGGCAAGGCTTGAACTTCAGAGGAACCTGTAGCTTGTGCGAGTCAGCTTCTGAATCTGTAAATCATTTATTGATTCACTGCCTGCTTACTTATCAGGTGTGGCGCCATTTCTTCGGGCTCTTCCATATAAGTGTCTTACCTGTTCTGTAGCTGATATGTTATCCTCTTGGGAGTGTGGTGCTTTCTCAGCCTGGAGAAAGTGCTTGTGGAAGTTTTTGCCTTTTGCCATTTGCTGGACAGTCTGGAAGGAAAGGAACCATAGGATCTTTGAATCTAAATCAAAGGTTGTAGAATCAGTTATTGGTAGAGAGGAATGGTTGTTGCAGAATTGGRCTGGTTGCTCTAATCTTTTTGTAGGAGTGTCAGCTAGTACTTTTTCTTCAAGTTGGTTGTCTATCATATTTTGAGTATGTCTAGGAGCTCATTGTATACGTTCTGTGCATACCTACAGAGGCACACTTTTTGTAATTGGGTGAGGGTTTCTTGCCCACCCTCTTTTTTGATATTAATACAAATTTAATTTTACATCTTTCAAAAAAAAACTCTCAAAGCAAGAAGAATAAGCTTGGACTTGCAATCCTTTCAAAACACGAGAATGTGAATCTAGGAACTATTCTTAAAAAAAAAAAAAAACTTTTTTATTGGTTAATTATAAAATGCACAAAACAGTAGTAAAAAACGAAACTGGGACTTACAGCAAGAGCAGAAGAAACTTGCTCCAGATGTTTGGTCATGCTGGAAACAGCATTTGCCATGTTACGCTTGGTGACATACATAAGATCTGAGAATGACAGACCCTGAACACAAACACACAACATTAGAGAGAGAGAGAGAGAGAGACAAGTTTGAACTTGTCAATATGAACTATATACATTACTTTAAATAGAAAAAGAAAAACAGCATATAGCATTTTCTGATGAGATACTTATTTATTGCAGTGTTAATGTAGATATTATTTGGGATTTGGAATTCATAATGAACTAAAGTAAAATATGGAAAGGGATTAATTTAGTCATTTGATCTGATATACCTTCCACCACATGTATCCATAGCCCAACGCACCCAAGGCTGCAGCTGGCATCACGAGAGATGTCATGTTTCCTGCAAAGCAAATTACTTTACTTAACATTGAAAATTGACTCATCTGAACCAGCAGAATATCACTTACAATGTGTCTGCCCTAAAGAACATCAGGGTCAACATGGAAAAAATTAGCACTTTTAGATTTTTTTTTTGATAAATGAAGAATTTATTAACGAAAGAAAATAGAAGCAACTTTTACAGGAGACACTTGGAGAGGCACGAGCTGTGACCTCTCCAACCCTACAAACACTTAAAACAGATTACAACTGAGCCCAATACAAATGTTCCCTCCCCCTTGCTTGGCTAAACAGACAGCCATAGCATTAGCAGATCTCCTTGCCCATTGTATTCTAACATATAAGTTTCTCGTCAAACATTTGAATCTTTTAAGTTCGTTTCTGAAACACCAAGCTACAGTCTCTGGATTCTGTAACCACCCCACAACCACCTTAGAATCACCTTCTATTAGTAACTGCTCCACTCCTATCTGTACAGCAAACTGTACCCCTTGTAGTGCAGCTAAAAGTTCTGCCCTCATGGAGTCCCCCTCACCTAAAGGACCGGAAAAAAGGAGAGCCACAGAACCACTTCCATTCCTTATAACCCCTCCCATCCCAGAAGGGCCTGGGTTGCCCAAGCTACTCCCATCAAAATTTAATTTCAGGAAGCCTTCAGGTGGAGGTACCCAGCTCATGTGCAACTTTGTCTTCAATGAAGAACTGCTTGCCACTTCTGCCCAATGCCTCCACAGATCGTTAAAAGAAAACTGCTGAAATAACTCTGAAGATTTTAGCCACACTATAGCCCTACACAGGATACAGTCCTTCAAATCTTGTTGGCTTCACAGCTTCCCTTGGAATATTCGGGCATTCCTTTCTTCCCACACTGTCCAAAGCAGTGCTGCTTTTGCAACCCTCCACATCACTCTTCCTCTTCAATGGCGCAAAGCAAAGGTAGAAGGGTCAAAAATTAAGCTTACATCTGCTGGCCTATTCCACCTGCGTCCAAAAATCAAGAAGAGCCAATCCCACAAATCTGCTGTAACAGTACAGGAGATAAGCAAATGGTTGCAGTCCTCACCATGGGATCTGCAAAGGGTACACCAATTGGGTGAAGTGCAGAGATAGGGTCTTCTCCTTTGTAGATTATCCAAGGTGTTTACTTTCCCATAAAACACTTCCCAACAGAAAGCCAAGACCTTAGGGGGAACAGGTTTGCACCAAACCTCCTTAAAAGGGAAAGGAGCAGACAATGAATGACAAAGGGCTTTGAAGAAGGAGGCACAAGAAAAACTACCTGAGGGCACAAGAGTCCAAAGCCTTTTATCTGATTCCGTGGGGTCCAAACAAACTTTCTCAAGGGTACTCAATAGGCAAGTAAGACTCACAATCTCCTCGTCCCTTAGACCTCGTCGGAACCCAAAGTCCCAAACTAGAGTCAACAGAGAATCCAAAGGGGAGCAAAAATAAGAAACAGGCTCTTTCTTGTACTAGGAGATAGTGCATAAAAACGGAAAGAGGTCCTTCAAAGGAGCCTCTTCAACCCAGATATCTTCCCAAAAGAGAACCGAATTACCAGTACACACATCATACCTAAGAAAATTGTTGAGTTGAGGGAGAACACTGTGAATTGCCTTCCAAGGTGTTGCCAAAGTTGCCCTCCAAGAGACCCCAGCATCCCATCCGCTCTCCAAGTGGCCATGAATACTTCCTATCACTTCAACCCACAATCTTTCTCCCTCTAATGACCATCTCCATAGCCATTTTCCCAACAAAGTCGTATTTTTTGCATCAGATTCCCTATTCCTAGACCTCCCTCTTCTTTAATCTTGCATACTACCTCCACTTCATCATATGATCCTTCTTACTTTCCCTCGGCTCCCAAAGGAAGTCCCTCATCAACTTCTCTATCTTCTTAGCTTCTCTAGAAGGAATCCTAAAGACTGACAAGAAATAAGTTGGTAGGTTAGACAGGGTGGCTCTAATTAGGGTAATCCTACCCCCCAAAGAGATATAGTTCTTTTTCCAAGAAACCAATCTCTTCTTAAATTTCTCCAAAACCGGGCACCAAAAGTTGCTCTCCCTAGGGTTTGCCCCTAAAGGAAGTCCTAGGTAGGTCATGGGCCAAGTGGCTACAAGACACTCTAAGCACCCTGCAATCGCCTCCACCTCTCTATTATCCAAATTTATCCCTACCACACTGCTCTTTTCAAGGTTGACTCTCAGATTGGACATACTTTCAAACCTTTGCATCAATAGCTTTAGATTCCTTAACTTCTCCAGGTCCCCTCCTTCACCAAAGACTAAAATATCATCTGCAAATTGAAGATGGGTAACTGACACTCCAGACCTGCCTACTTTCCAACCATTTATTAAATTCTCCCTATCAGCGTTTGAGATCATTCTACTTAGCACATCAGCTAACAAGGTGAAAAGGAAGGGCAAGAGAGGGTCTCCTTGCCTTAGTCCCCTACATGCTGGGAAAAAATCCTTTACCACTCCATTAATCAAGATAGAGATGTGACTAGAGCTCACACAGCCAATAATCCACTGACACCACCTTTCTCCAAAACCACGTTTCCTCATAACTTGTAAAAGAAATTGCCAATCCACCAAATCATAGGTCTTTTCCAGATCAAGCTTACAGACAAATCCCTTCTTTTGGATCTTCTCATTTCTCCCAGGCATTCATTAGCTACTAAGATTTGGTCTATAATTTGCCTCCCTTGAACAAAAGCCCCTTGGTATTTGCTGATTAGGGAAGGAATAACCTCTTTAATCCTCAATGACAACACCTTAGCTAAGATTTTGTAGATACTAGTCACTAGGCTTATTGATCTAAAATCCTTTGGGAGGATAGCATCAATCTTCATAGGGACTAAGACCAAGAAAGTAGCATTGACTCCTGGGCTTACTAAATGGTTGTTTGCAAACTCTCTAAACATCTCACAAAGATCTTTCAAAATCCCCCAGCAATCTTGATWAAAGGCCATTGTAAAACCATCTGGGCCTGGCGCCTTAGACCTATCCATCAAAAACACTGCCCTTCTAATCTCATCTTCTTCAAAATTTCTTTCCAACCAACAAGCTTTTTCATTGCCCAGACTTGRGCCAATCCAATCCTTCCAAGGGTAGCCTCTCAGCCAAAGGTCTTCCATACAGATTTTTGAAGTGATTGACAAAGGTTCTAGCTATTTCCTCTTGATTTGCAATTACCTCCCCTTCCACTTCTAGTTTGGCTATAAAATTACTCCTTCAATATCCACTTGCCAAATCATGAAAAAATTTGGTGCTTCCATCTCCTTCCTCAATCCATTAATGCCTTGATTTCTGTTGCCAACAAATCTCTTCCCTAAGCAGCATATCTTCCAAGTCCTTCAACTGTCTTCTCTTCTCTCTATCTTGTTCAATCAAAGTCCCATGGGACTCCTTTTCATCTAAGGCCTCAACTTGAGTGATAATATTCAACTTTTGTTCCTCCACTCTACCAAAGTGATCCCTATTCCACTCTTTCAGTTTGAATCTTAATCTCCGCAACTTCTTGTGAAATCTCACTCCCTTCCACCTTACCCCACTTAGCTCTTCATCCCACCATTCCTTCACTTTAGCCTTAAACTTTGGATGTGTTAACCACATGTTTTCAAATCTGAAGGATCTAGGCAGAGCTCCAGAGACTAAATTACCCCAATAGTTTTCCCAATCTAGGTTGAAGAGGAACCTATCCAATTTTGAACTCAAAGGGTTTTCCTGGAGGTTGGACCAAGTGAACTTGTGTTGCAACTGTGGGATCTCCTTCAATTCACACTCATCTATAAACTCATTAAATTTCCTCATACTTTTTGTGATTGACAAACGGGGGTTATTGGTTTCATCCAAGAATCTTACTACATTAAAGTCCCCTCCCACACACCATAGGCCATCCCATAATCCTTTTATTGCAAACAATTCCTCCCACATTTGTTCCGCTCTCTATAGGAATTAGGGCCATACACATTGGTTGCTACCCACATGAAACCATCCTTCACATTCCTAAATTTGGTAGAAATAGAGGATCTCCCTATCGGTTCCTCCAAAGGTTCCATTATCTCATCCTTCCAAACTGTCACAATTCCCCCTGAAGCACCACAAGACGGAGCTGGTGACCAGCTCACTCCCCTAGATCTCCAAAAGCTTCTGACCCATCTTGTATCTATCTCAGACAATTTTGTCTCTTGTAGGAACACAGCATCATGATTTTCCCTCCAAAAAAGATCCTTTATTACTCTTCTCTTCCTTGCGCTCCCCAAGCCTCTTACGTTCCAACTTCTATTTTCATCAGAGAACTTTTTTCCAGAACCCTTCTTTTGCCAACCTCCTATCCTTACCTAGATTTCTTCCTCTTGTCACCTCTTCCACTAAACTCTAAATCCCCCTCAATATCTGAAAGTAATCATTCCACCCCGGCTTGTTTTTCTTTTTGTTATCCTTCCTTTTTTTCATTTTTCCTACTATATTTCTTCATCTGTCCTTCCCCTCATTAAGATCTTCCCCTTTCAAGCTCCTATCTCCCATCTTAAGCGACTCTATCCCTTTACCCTCTTCTACTCCTTCAGTTCCTACCTCCTTCCTGGCCCCCTTCTTTCCCAAACTCACTTCCACATAACCCTTTCTAATTCTGTGTTCTTCGAAATCTGAACAAATCCACCCCCAAATTCTTTCTATCTCCTCCTCCCTACCTTCTCTCCCATCACAATCAGGCTTTTCCTTTACTTTTCTTTCCAGGATTTACCTTTCCACCCTCTAGCTTATCACCATCCCCTTCTCGAGCAGATGCTGGGGTATCTGCAGAAGGCTCAACACACAGGTCAATACCAAAAACCGAAGGGACACGCATACCTGACTGAAAACAACCCAAGGCAGGGCTAGAAAGGCCTTTGGAATGGGACTTTACAGCTTAAGACGTTGATTTCCCCCCAGTCAGACATTGCGGTTAAGTGGTTTGGATTATATTAGCAGCCTCTTCTGATCTCGTCAAAAGCAGACCCTGCCTCTTTGTCTCCCTTCCTGGTCTACTTCCAACTAACCCAGGGGAGTCCTGTCTCTTTGTGCCAAACCCCATACTATACTGCTCTCTTTGATTAGCTCCCTCGATTAAGGAGGGTGTAGCTTGCACAACATCAGTAGCCAACGTTTCAGCCTTCCTACTTGTCTTGATCTCGCCCCCAACAGATGAATCTTCCTCTAGGAACATAATCTCTGTATTGAAACTGCTTTCCTCCAGGAAATCCCCTTTAACCTGCAACTCAACACTACCTATGCTACATGCATCCTCCGTGTCTGAATCTTCACTGTATTCCTCACCTGACCAGCCCCCATCTTCTAAGCAAGTCATATCCTTCCATTTTGCGCACCTAGGATTTCGTCTTTCAGGTGAAATCTTGCTTTGTTTCTTCACAGGAATCCATTGTAACGAGCTTTGTCCAGTCGATTTCGTTCCTGAGGAGCGGCAACCAACAAAAGGTCACGAAGAGGACGATGATAGACACATCGTCCCATCTAGAAGAGGCCCCCTTGTTCAACCACGTAAGTTTTAAGTGACTCACGTGGTCCCCCTAACTCTTTTTCAAACGGGCTGTCCTGGGGCCCTTTTGAACCTTTGGTTGTCGACCCAAATTTCTTGATGGGCTTTTGCTTATTACCTAGCCCATAACTAACAACCTACGACGCCACATGACATTTTGAGGGGCCACACACGTTCAATCCTTCATCCGGTTCAGAGTCACCTGATCTAGGTTCGGTTCTTCCTGAACCGACACCTTCTCCTTGTTTAAATCATCAGTATCGGCACCAGCTACAACTTGTGCAAAAGTCCGGCTGCAGGGCAGCCTGTTTTCTTCTTTACGCATAAGACCTTCCCCCTGTTTACTACCTTTTTGTCTCTCCAAAAGGTGTTTTTCCATTTTAGTATAAGTGTTTTTCTTGTTTGAACCAGCCAATCCCTTACTTCGACGCAGCTCTTCTTCTTCAACCTTCTCATCTCCCTCCTTGCGAGCCTCTTTCCATAGCAGAGCTTCAATGGATGAAGCCAACCAAACTGAATAGAACTGACCTTTGACTCTCACCTCTATCTTCCATGGCATCTCCTCTGGCTTTACTGCATTTAGTAGAATAGCAGCCGAGTAGAGGTCTCTCCAGAATACACCATCCTTCACACATCAATGCAATGGCTTCAGCAGTTTCTTGCTTCCACAGATGAAAAGGCAGGCCTAGTATTTGCACCAACACCCCATCTTCAACAAAGAAGTCTTTGGCATTTGACCCTGGACACCATCTTGAGATTGTGAAGTTCCGAAGTTTAGCTTGGATGTTTAAGGCCTCAAACCCTACTTTGTTCTCAAGTAAATCCAGCAGTGCCTTTCCATTTTCTGTGACTTCAATCTTGTTGTTAACAACTCTGAAACTTTCCTCCAATCTTCAACACAGGTTGATGTTTTAACTATCAGTTTGTTTCCCCAGTCTTCTCCCTTTAAATTTACTCCCATTCTGCATTTTCTTGCCCCAGTTGTTACTATTAGAGCCTCTTGCTTATTATCCTCAACCTGGTTATTAGTACTATTTGACTTCCCTTTTACTGTTGAGTTTACTTCTCTTTTAGCACCCAACCATTGCAGCAGTTAACTTAATACCCCAAGAACTTCCTTCCAACCCTGACCTTTCCTTCCCTCTGGGAAGAAAACAGTTTGTTTCCTATCCTTTCCAAAGTATTCCGTCAAGGCTATGAAAGACCCTTGAGAGTTTCTCTTGCACTCTACTACATATTTTCTTCCTGATTCTGAAAGAAACTCCTTACAGCTGATTTGTTTACCCTTGTTACTTGCACCTTCCAAAAAATTCCTCGAAACCTTCAATCACACCCATACCTTCTACCAGCATCATCCCTCTCCTTGCTTCCCTGATTTTCAGACTCAGATGCCCCTTTAGTGTCAGTTCTTCGACAAGAAGCTCCTTAGCTTCAATCTTCAATGTTTTTCTCCAGCGGGCTATCTCCACGAATCCTCCCATGTTTTCTCCTCCCAAGTGGTCTTTCTTCCCTCCCCCTTGAGGGTAGTTAGAACATTATCTTATCTGAACCAAGGACTTGACTCAAGAAAATATAAAAATCCATTACCTAATGGTGATCCCAGCAATATGGGGTCTTGGGAGGGGTGGACTGGATACAGACCTAATCTTTGGCATGTTTTGCGGGAAGTTTAACCAAATTTCATTAAAAGGGAGTACATGACAAGATGTACAAAACAGGGGAAAACCCCAAAGAGATTACAAAGGAAGAAGCCTATCACTGTACAGATTTTCAACGACAGGACAAAATTTCAAACTCTTATGCATGTTCATACATAATGAAGACAGCAAAACCTTGCTGGTTATGCAATAAGATGAACTGGAAATATTGAAACTGCTAAGCATGTGGTAGGAGATACCAATCTGGCCAGAATTTCCATTTAGAACAGTTATTTGTCGTGATGAAGCTAGTTGTCTGACTTCCATTGCCAATCGACGCACCTACAAGACAGTCAGTAAAAGAAAAGATCAGAAAATAAAAGGCAAAAAAAAGAAAAACTTGGTGAGAAATGGAACGAATAAAATTTTAAGAAATAAACGTCGAATTGACTTTTTTTCCTGGACCTCTCTTTTGATAAATAATAACTGTGCAATTGTATACTTTGTCTTACTGGATCATGAAATGAATAGCTGGTTTAATGATATTAATTATAGTATTTTCTATTATAAATAGATTGAAAGAACTAATCCACAAAAATTACCACCAGAAAGAATACATTTTATCAGAATGCCTCCAAGAGAAACATCATATGCCTCTAAAAAAACAGCAAGGATATGRTCACTAAATTCTTGAAGCAGATAGAAAATATATTGCAGTCGCCAACTTTTTTTATAATAAAGTGACAGTTAGAACATGTCACAGAAAATCGGATTACTGAAAGACACATTTCACAAAGCCAATAATAATTTATGCATTTTAATTGTGGTGATGAATTGCTTAGCTGATTATGGGCAGCTTATGACTTTCACAAGAGATTATTTAAAAAAGAGGTGAACTATGATTGTAATGCATTATTTGCAAAGCAAGCATAGGATTAGCTTTTGTGTGCATGTTTTACCATTTCTGGTGACTTATTTCAGGTTCGCTTGCATGTAGTGTTATAGCTTGATCTTCTCCTCTGTTCATGTGAGAAAACTTGCTTGAGGTATTTTCAATTGTGTGGACCAAAAGCTGAGAGAAGGAAGGCCAAGGCTATTTTTCCTTATGTCTTTATGTGCCTTTTAGTGGCTCTCATGATGGGCTAGCAGCTAGGTTTCACCAGTTCATGTTAGCCAGCTTCAAATATAACCAATGGGCCTATAAAGATACAAGCTCAGGGTTCCCTTGTAGAAGAGTTTGGATAGGTCACTGGTCACATCCCCCCCCCCCTAGAGTTTCTTTTTTTGTGTGGGAGGCTTTCTTGAAAAGAATAAGCACCTGCAATTTATTACAGAAGAAGCACAAATGAAGGTTGTGCATCCCTCCCCATATTTGCACCCTTTGCCTCAGTAATGGTGAATCGGCTGAACATCTTCTTTTATATTGTTCAGTAACAAGGAAGAACTGGCTTCATTTTATCAACCTTGTTGGTTACAGCTGGGTTTTTCTGGAACATATTGAAGATTTCTTAAGACAATAGAAAGGAAGAGGATTAGGTAAAAGGGGAAGAATCTACTGGCACACGGAAGATCAAGCAGTATTGTGGGTTTTTTTTTTTTTTTGAAAAAAATATTGTGGGGTGTTAGGGAAGGACGAAGCAATATTTTCCTCACCCAGTCCTTCAAGAGTGAAAAGCCTCCCCCAACCAAGAGAGGAGAAAAAGGTGACTCTGTACTTTGATGGAAGTGCAGTCGGAAACCTGGGAACAGCAGGAATTGGCTTGTGTTTAGGAGGGATGGAAGCCCTATGTGGGCTTTTATTGGACCAATTGGGAGTGCAGACTCCACAATGGCTGAAATTTTAGCTGTTTATAGCAGGTCTCCATATCTCAAGAGATCTAGGCTTGACTAATCCAGTAGTCAAAGGTGGCTGTAGCAACACGATAAAGTGGCTTGGGGAGAAGGAAGGAAGGAAGGCCTTGGAGATTGGCTCACTATTTGGATGAGGCTAGAGATCTGTTGAAATCCTTAAACTGCAAACATTTGCTGGATTCCTAGGGAACTAAACTCTGTAGCAGATATTTTAGCTAAATCTGGTATATACAGGGACAACTTGTACAGTGATAGAATTATGCATTTGTAACCTGTGTGTAGCATCTTTCCATTGTACCTCATCTCATGTACTCTTTTTTTCTATTTATAACAAGTTAATCTTTCCCTCAGAAAAAAAAGATGTACCAGAAAGGAGAGGCTAGGGGCTATGTCTCATTAATTAATGCTAGCCCAGCTTCAAATATAATGAACCTATAAAGATGTACCAGCAAGAAGAATGTTGAAGTGAAAGGTAATTGCCAAACTATAACTCTTTGGATGAAGAAAAAAGGGTGATTCCTTGGAGTTTCAGACATTTGGTTAGAAAGGCATGAACCCTAGGCAGCAATTTGTACAGCTCATTCAATTGGATTCCAAGGAATGCAAATGCTTTGGCTGACTCCTTAGCAAGAATAGGGACTCTGAAGGATCATATGGAATGGAGATTACCAAGGCTGGCCTTCAATTTGTAATACTCTGAAGTTTATATATGTGTTAGCCTTGTATTCTTATGGTTTGCTGCCCTCCTTATGGGGCAGCTAGGTCTCAGGAGTTGATCTTAATGAAGTTATATTGTCATTTATACAATTTTAAAAAGCTTATGGGGCAGAATCTACTCGTGGCTGCAGTTTACAGACAGCTAAAGGATATACCTTTCAAGTTTCAACTCTTTTTTTTTTATTCTAGGATCTTTTTGTATCTAGATCTGCAGTGTAATCAGCTTTTTAGTTTTTTCCCTGTTTCAAATTCTTTTTGAGCAGGGCCTTGTATTTCTTTGTTTTTGCCTTTTATAATACATTACCTTTCTCTCAAAAAAAAAACATTATCACTTATCCAAAAAAAATTGCTGAGTTGAGCCCAAAGACCACAAGCTTAGGTTTATTCCAGCAAATCCAACAATCTGAGTTTTTCCAACTCAATGGATCCCATGCAATGCTTCAGACTTGGGATGGTTTATAAATACAGAGAGTTTATTGGATCATATGTGAAATGGTCCAATTATTGGATCAATCCAGTGATATATGACATCATATTTATAAATATAAAATATTATACATGTTAGAGGTCTATGGGAGGGGCCTTAGTGTCTCGGAGGTGATTTTAATGTGATAAGATTTACTTTTGAGACAAGTAATCCCAATCAGGTGATTTCCACAAGTATGAGAGGGTTCAATGAGTTTATTGAGGGTTGTGAGCTAAAAGAAATTCCAATTCAACAGACCCGGTTCACCTGATCCAACTTTCAGTCCTCCCCCATTTGTTCAAAGTTTGACAGATTTGTGTTTAATGTTGCTTGGGAGGGCTACTGGGGAGGGTTGATGGTGAGAGCTAGAGTTACCTCAGACCACTGTCCAATTCGAATAGGCACTGAAGACTTCTTGACTAGTCCTACCCCGTTTAGATTTGAGAACGTGTGGCTTACCTTACCCATCCGGATTTTATTAGTAGAGTGGAAGAATGGTGAAATGAGGAGTTGGGGATTTTGATTGGAAAGGAATAAGGTTTCACAAAAAATACAACATTTAAAAGGCAAGCTAAAGGAGTAGAATAGAGATATTTTTGGAAGAGTCGAGGAAAGAAAGTTGAGTGTGACTTCTAGAATTGAGCAGCTGGACCAAAAGGAAAATCAAGGGTCGGTGACTAAAGAGGAAAGAAGTTTAAGATGGACTCTAAAAAAGGAGTTAGAGGAGGTTACTTAGGGAGGAGATATGCTGGAGACAGAAGTCGAGACATAAGTAGATTAAGGAAGGTGATGGTAATACTAAATTTTTGTTATGCAATAGCCAATGGGAGAAGAAGGAAAAAGTTTGTGGATAAATTGGAAATAAATGGTGAAATCTCGAGGAACCAAGAGGAACTTGCAAAATGTTTTGTGGATCATTTTAAGAGTGTTTACAAGAAGGTGAGTGATGGTGGAGTGATAGTGGAGGGGTTAGACTGGCCAAGGTTGGATCTAGAAGTGGCATGAGTGCTGGAAAAGGACTTTGAGCTGGAAAAAATTAGAAAGGCGATCTTCTCAATGGATAGATCTAAAGCTCCAAGACTGGATGGCATGACAATGGCTTTTTACCAAGATTGTTGGGAGTTAATCAAATTTGATTTGCTAGCAGTGTTTGAGGAATTCACTGAGGAACATTTCCTTTGTTCAAGGATAAACTCCACTTTCTTGGCCTTGATACCTAAGAAGGATGATGCCATTAGTCCTAGAGATTTTAGACCCATTAGCCTGGTGACTAGCATTTATAAAATTCTGGCTTAAGTTCTATCAATAAGATTGAAAGATGTACTCCCTAGTTTGGTTACACAGTCTCAAGGAGTTTTTGTTCAAGGCAGACAAACCACCAATCAAATATTGATAGCCATGTGTGGAGGATTACAAGAGAAAGAAGAGGAAAGGATTTGTGTGTAATTAGACTTGGAGAAGGCCTATGACATGGTGGACTGGATTTTTCTTTTGGAAGTATTGAAATGTTATGGTTTTGGGGAAAGATGGTGTGGATGGGTTGAAGGGTGTTTGAAAACTTGTCATTACTCGGTAGTGGTGAATGGTGTGGCAAGGGATTTCTTCCCAGCTACTAGGGGATTAAGACAAGGGGATCCTGTGTCCCCCTTTCTTTTTACCCTAGTAGCGGATGTTTTTAGTAGACTTCTCCCTATGTTGGATATCTTTAAAGGGTGGAGAATAGCAGACTTAATGCAGCGGTGACACACTTACAGTTTGTTGACGATACAATCTGTGAGGGTGGGGATTCATTAAAGGCAAGACAGTTGAAGGAGATGATTAAGTTGTTTGAGTTTATTTCATTTTTTTATAAATATTGAGTTTATTTATCAAAAATCAAAGAGTTGCGTGGCAGGGACAAACTTGGAGCAGGGAGAGCTAGAAGAAGTAGCAACCCATAGCTGCTTGGCCTTTGAAATACCTTGGGATGCCACTAGGAGACAATCTGAAAGAAAGTAGGTTCTGGAACCTAGTTGTGGAAAGGTGCTCTAAGAGATTGGCTGCCTGGAAGAAAAGTTATATCTCGATGGGAGGTCGAATTACTTTGATAAAATCCACTTTTGCAAATTTGCCAATCTACTATCTTTCAGTGTTCAGAATGCCACAGAGAGAAGTGATGAAGCTAGAAAAATTGATGAGAGATTTTTTGTAGGAGCCAGGGGAAGGTAGGAAGGATACTTGACCAATTGGGGCGTAGCGTGCAAAAGTAAAGATCAAGGGGGTTTAGGCATAGGAAACTTAGGCAATAAGAATTCCTCCTTACTAGGTA